TAGGTATCATCCAAAGCTCCGGAAACATGAGAAAACAAACGCTTTCATTTGCTAGATTACGACTTCTTGTGTATTTTTATGATCAAAAACTGGGAAATAAGCTGATTTATGCGAGACTGGCATGTTAATTGCGATTTAGACGTAAACAAAAATCAGGCGTTTTTCGAGAAAAATGTTTAATAGCAAGAAAATTCTCAGAAATTTTAAGAAAATGAAGAGTGCATGTTTTCGCGCCGTCTGGGCGGCTTTCGAACGGCGTAGAAAACCAATCCCGAGAGCTTGCTCCGGACCGCTAGAGGGGCAATTTATTCGGGCCAATTTGTATTGAACGTTTGTTACGCTACCTGGAACCCTAGAATACTATTTGACAAAGCTGATGCCGGGCTATTGGTAGCGCTAGTTTTCCATGTTTTTGCACGCCTGCCAAGACCAGGAAACTTTCGGAAAATCGTGAAAATCAGCGAAAACATGAGAAAAATTCGAATTAGAAAAATCGGAAATCGCGAAAAATAGATAGAGTAGAAATTCGGTATGCCGGAAAATCGGCCTCGTGTTTGGATATCGATAACAACGTTAACCGTGCCAAGAGCCCAGAAAATTGAAGCGTACGCTGGGGGGGTACCTGCTCCTTGGTGGTGTACTGGATGGAGAGATTCTTCGGTTTCGTCTCCGGGCAGACGACGTTGTGAAGAGCACGACGGACACGCTGCGCCTCTTCGACGGTGGCCAGCTAAAAACAACGAAACATTAGATGCAAAAAAAACATGGCACAGACGGGTTTTGGCACAGACCAGTTTCAGATTATCGAAAACTGTTGTCAAAATTCACCTTTCGCAGCTATATGCTAGGCTTTCCTTCAAGCATTTTGAGGAACGGTGCTAATGCATTTACGGGGATCCGAATTCGACTACAAAACGCTCCAAAAGCCGTTTTTGAAACTCTAAGCCTCAGGGAAAGCTGTAAGCGAAGCCGAAGCCTAGGCTTGGCTTAGCTTTGCCCCAGCCAAGCCAAACTTAGCTCTAAGCTAAGCCCTAAATAAGACAACCTCGTAAGGCTACTTACAGCTTAAAAATAAGCTTCGCCTAAGCTTAAGCTCTAAAACCACGTAGCTGAAGCGAAGCGCCCTGGAAACTGTTACTGTCAATTTCTGACTGCCCTCCGTAACTGCATTAGCACCTCAGGAATGTCGGTGAAAATGCCCGAAACACCTACAAACATTTCGAAAACGTTGACTTTCTGGTCAACGATGCAGCCATGCAAATGCAAAAATTTAGGAGAAATGGTTTTGGGCAAAGCGGGACCAGGACGTAGCGTAATTCAGCCCCCCGCCCCGGAAATCGGCCGGGGCCCGAAATTTAGAAAATTTTTTAGGGGTATTCGAGGGCGTAGATTACTGCACGCTTATCAGATTTTAAGAAAATGATGATTTTAATTTTATTTTAGTGTTTTAAAACATATGCAATGCCCTCATTTGCATACGAGGCGGTAGGAGCCCTATTTTGGATTTTGTCACGCCTACAGTCGGTCGCTTTTGTGATTATTAAGGTTGAGAGGTTAGCACTAATTCGCCAGAATTATGCAAAGTGCCCAACGTCTTAAGATCCCTGCGCAAAGGTTACGGGTGCAAAGCCGCCTAGCGGCTTTTCAACCCTGGTTGGAATTAGTTTTTTAAAAGCATAGCAAACATAAACTTTTAATTTTACCAAATCTAAATAAATTTTAGCAGCGAGAGAATGAGAGAGACCGAGAAAAGAGCGAGTGAGAGAGAAAGAAGAGTCAGAGACAGAAAGAGGCGCCGTAGAGGCTTTTCAACCCTGGTTTTGGATGAAATTTGTATTTTTCCGGCGCCGCCCGTGGAGGAGAAGCATGAGGAAAAGCGGAAAATCCGGGACTGGACGGGAAACCAATGCCTGCATTTGCTTCCCCAATAGTCCAGTGCCGGAAATCGTAGAAGGTCCACCTGCAAAAAAAATACCTTGTTGGTGACGGGCGACTCGTGACTGCCGTTGGTGGTCTTCTTAGGCATCGGCTTGATGGTCGACTCCTGCTGCTCCATCTCGTCATCAGTCGGCTTGAGCTTCTCCTCCGGCTCCCTAAAAATGCAAATTCCAAGCCGAAAAGAAAAAGTTACGTTTTTCCTCCCCGGCCTGGGGTTTTAGCTGTTCAACGACAGGCGGGGAAGGCCTAGAAAAAAAAGAGTAGATAGTCCAATCGGCGCCTTACTCTGTCTCGCGCTCCTTCTCGGCAATCTCTTGCTCCTTCTCCACCATTTCCGGCTCCGGCGTCACGGCCGTTCTATGAAGAAACCATTGCCTATTGTAAAATTAAAGAATCTAATTCGTTCTTTTGCATTAGCCGGGCGACCGAAATTTATTGCGGAAGTCTAGAAATGGTCGCACCAATTTTGGTCGCATTTGACGTCGCGAGATGGCCAACATTGCAAAAATAGTGATTGTTTTTTAGTGAAAACAGCGATTGTTTTTTATAACTTTGTTTTTTAATTTCACAGCATTTTCTCTCGACTACGCCGTGGTACAGAATACATGTCGTAACCGAATGAAGCGAGTGTCGTGCGATTTGGCTGTAACAAAAAGTTTTCTAGATAACTATTGAGTCTATTTCGTTTCAGGTATCATCCCAATGCGACTTTCACAGCGTTTCCTTGGCCTGGTACGAGGGCGAGACGGACAAGCGGAATGGAAAGAGGTCTGTTCAAATTTGGCTTGTCGAACTTATTCTTTCCAGGTCAGCCAGCTTCATCTCCCCGACGGTGGCAAAAAGCTACGATTTATTACGGTTTGTTGATTTTCCGTAGCTCATTTGAAATGACGTTTAGAGGGGTCACATCATTGGCGCGGCGGTGTTTTTCTTCGTCGGATACGCCTACATCAAATCGGTCATCAACCCAGACTCCATGTGGGGAAGTGAGTTTTATGCTAACAGCTTACGTCGAAATTAAGGAGTATTCTTTGTTATAATGAGATTAATTCATTAGAAAAAAAGCTACACCGTACCGGTGTTGCTACTCTTATTAATTACCTTTTTATGTGTAGGTTTTCCGGCAATATCTTTTTCAGAGGCGGTCAATAGTATCCACGAGCAGACCGTACAATGGACGGACACGCGGAGTGAGGAGGAGAAAAACGCGCCTAATCTCGACCGGCTGAACAGCATGAAGTAGGTCGCGTTTTCCCGGTTATATTATTTGTTTATTATCAGATGATGACCGGGTAGGAGCGCCAAAAATCTCGACTTGGACGGTCAGGAAATTACGAGTGAAGGAAGAGGCCAGAATAAATGGATTCGATTGCAATTTTTCGGTTGGCACGACATGAAATGGAAAAATTTCAGACCAGGTCTAGACCTAAATTTGGACTTTTCGTTCAAGATCCATTAAAAATACAGAGAAGAAGTAAAAAATATTCTAATTCTGAAAAGAAAATACTTCCACTGTATTAATAGGTCAAATGTATAATAGCTTTATTAAATATGCGTGCGTGTTCAGATCAATGACTCGTGTACCCGCAGGAAGTTTTTCCGGTTGTAAGGATCGAAGCCCAGGAATTCATGAAGCCACAACCTAAAGCTCGTGAATTTGGTGTTTTCTGGGATCTACCGAAACATCATGAACGCCGTCCGTCTGTCTTTTCCATCGGCACGCTGTCGCACTTCTGGAAGAGCTGCGGCCGAGGCTTCCCTAAACCTCATGTATCGCCTTGCAGTCTTTTCTATACTTGACAGTCTTCATCGCATCCGGATTGCACGTTCCATTAGCGTATTTGAACTCGAGGTTCCATTTCCTCAGCAATTCCATTTTTGGCAGCGGCGAGGTCGTGGTCCACCTAAAAAAAGATTTTTTTGTATTTAAAATTTTATACTTTCATGCGTTTCTCGCTTACCTGGATTAGGAAAGGCACTGGGCGACGGTTGCCCATAAAAAAGTTCGAATTAGAGATGACCCTGAATAGTTTATGAAATTGTTGCTTCCAACCCACCATCTTGGCAGCGTTGCACATTTATAGTGTTCAGACCCGCATAGATAAGTCATTATTGAGGAATCGGGCGACAGCCTTCTAGTCATTAGATGTGCTACCTAATAAAAAAGCTGTCTTAATATGTAATGCCTTACCAATTTGAAAAACTCAACTGTCACATCATTGCCTCGCACGAAAAACGTGGAGCCACAGATCCAGTTTTTCATTTTTTCGTAGATACGGAACTGTAAGCTCAATCAATTTGAACGGCTTCTAAACATTAAAATCACCTGGTCGTTGCCAACTGTATCAAATAAAAGATTCGCTTCCCGTTTTTGATCCTCGATGTTCATCGCCGGGAAATTGGCCGTCCAGATGGTGTCCTGAAAATCGGTATTTATTAATGTAGCGAAAATAGTGATATTATACCTGTTGCATTGCCCAGAAATTGAGGCCCCGCTTGGCCAGCGCCGTCACAACTCGCGCCCTCAACATCAAAATCAGTTGGTAGGTTATGTATTTCTTGTTCTCCAGATCGGCGGGTAGTGTCTTCTACAAAATTAAGATCTCTTTTTAGCGATTAGGGGGCAGCTATTTTATCGAAATTATTAGCGTTTACCTACCCGAACAAGCGAAAAGTCGACGGTTATAATCGGAATCGTGGGATCAAATGATTTAAGAGCAGCTTCAGAAGCTTCGTCGAACGCCACGGCGGCCAACCGCTCCACAGCACCGGGCAGGGGTCGCAGATTGCAGATGTGATTCTTTGTCACTTCTAGTTGATTCGAATCAAACTAGCAATAATATTCTCTTCCCCCAGATCCCGTCACTTACGAAAATTATATAAGGGGCGCGGCCCACCGCGTGGAGTCGCGACACAAAGTCTTCGAATTGCGGAAGTCGCTCGATAGATTCTAGCGGTATCTGAGACGCCATTAATTCTTCTCGAATTCTGACTCACCAAATGGGAATATTTTTCCACATTCCGGATCAGCCTGCGTTGGCGGCCCCATCGAGGAAAATTGGGAATAAGAGAATAGTAGTCTGTGAAGATGGCAACTAAAACTGATCGTGCAATAAATAAAGGCTCTCGACGCTTCTGCAAAAAGCCAACAAAACAAATCCTGCCTTGCACGTCTCTTTAATTGTTATTTACTTGCCTATCAGCCAAACTGCCACCAATAAACTCCATTTGTTGCGCCACAAATACCAATTAGGATGGTTCAGAAAATTTGTCATTTTACGCTGCATGCGGCTTGCCGGGTTGTGGGGGCCCCGGGGTGCGGGAAGCTCGTGGTGAATCGAAAGATCGAAATCTACACAGTTCGCCATGTCGCCCATCCAGACACTTCACAACCTGCACCCGGCAGATGTACGGAACGCCACGCATGGAAAGTTCCGTCCAAGTGATCAAGTTGACAGAAGCACCCCGTGTCAAAAATTGTACTGCGTAAGAAAACGGTTTATTCATTCTATTTATTTACACCACAGAAACTAGTCAAAGGATACTTTTACGTTGCTAGAAACAAATCAACATCAAGACGGGTGCTTAATTGGGCTATATCACGGATGAGGCGGAGAGATGTTTAGACGGATTCCGGGTCGGCGTCGATGGCTTTGAACCTAAACAAAGTTGCGGCAAAACATTGAGCGGCTTACCAGTGTCCACACTCGCAACGTTTCGGCACGCCCTTGCGCACAACCATGAAGTTAACGTGACCACTGTCCGGCTCGCCTAGAATGAAATAAGGAAGCGAGACGAAAAATGCCTACACATGCAACCGATCATGCGGTCCTGGAAGTGAGCAGGCACCAAGTTGGGCTTTTCCTTGGTCGTCTGCTCAGCGCGGTAGTAGACTTTTGGCTCGTAACGCTATAAAAATTGATCATGAAGAGGGTTGAACTTAGAAGCAATCGATCGAAAAATACCTACATCATCTCCAGCGAGACGAGCAATCAGCATCTTCTTCTCACGACCAGTGGCGTGCTCCAGGGGGTCAGGGTAGTGTCCGTAGTCATCGGGGTTGGGCTGAATCACATAGTCAGTGGAAAATCAATCCGTAAAACCTCGGCGGCGAGTCCACGGGTGGAGACTGCGGAAACGTTGGTGACCCGCTTGGCGAGAGCCGCCATCACCGAACGAGCAGCAAGTTGAGCCATCTGGGAAGAGGGCAAATAATGTAGAGCAACTCGCACAATACGGCAAAAGCACTGGAGAATTCGTTCAATAACATAATTCTGGCAGTCGTGAAGCCATCACCAAATAAATCCGCAAAAAACACAAAATATTTATTCATATAAAGAAAAAAAGATTTTGGAACAAACAAACAATGAAACTCAACATTCATCGAAACCTAGCACTAGCTATAAAACCGTAAATTCTGTGAGCAATCAATTCTTGATGGCGTTGTCGTAGATTCCCAGCATAGCGCCCCTTCCTCTCCAAAAAGTCGAGCGTGCAGCCAGGCCGGCAATGTCTTCTTGTTCTCATTGTAGTCGGGATCAATCCATTTCGAGGCTCTAAAAAAATAAGTAAAAACAGCGCAAAATCATTACACACCTGTAGTCCTTGATCTGCGCCCGTCGTAACCGCTCTTCGAGGATCTCTTCTTCCATTTCTTTGGGATCACGGTACATGTCGAGATAACTAAAGTAAATCAGTCTTTGACGGAAAAAAATGCCATACAGATCAAATGGCATCGCCTTTACAGGAAATTCACGTTGTGCTGGCTTGAGCGACTCGGTGAATTCGTACTCGTAGATCGGCGACTTCAGCCCTAGATTCGAAATTGAGTTCTGTAAATATGAAACAAACCGAGACCATGAAGCGCCTCCTTACAAGACAGATCATAGCTCGTCTGACAAAAGCGGATCGCTGATGGCGTAAGCTGCTCTTCACAGGCTTTGTAAAATTCCGCTATTTTCATCACTCGCCCTCCAAGGCTCCTAAGAGAATATTGCTGATGAGCAAACGACCAACTTGTCAAGCTGGAAGTCGAAGTCGAGCGGCTTCTTGTGGCGGAAGAGGACGGCCGCTAATCGATGATATCCAGTACCCATGAAAGGGAGTGGGCGCAGATACGGAAGAACCTAAATAAATAAGTAAGAAGATTCACCCGACAACTCCAAACCTCAACACCTTCTTTCACCAGCTTTCCATCTGGTATATCCTTGACCATCCATTGAACAACTTCGCCTTCCAGTCCTTCGAAAACATTCCCGTCTAGATTCACGAGCAGAATCGTGGAAAAGCTCCCAGTAGCAATGTTTTCAATCTCCACCCTAAAAAGGTGCAATTTATTGTCAACGGGGAACACTACCTTGGGCTCATGGGACATGCTCTGAGCGACTATGATGTTCCCATTGTACATTTCGGCATCGCCAAACGCAACGTTGAGGTCTTGGACGTTGTGAAAATAAGTGTCCTCGCCAAAGAGATGCTCGAAGATCTGGAAAAAAAAGGCTGAAGAGGGTAATGGGAGATCTCAATTTCAAAAAAGCGGATGACATGTTCGCAAATCAATCAGTTTGAAATTAATGCATTTAGAATTTCACACCGCCTTAGCACTGCGATTTTATTTTCGTCGGCCTTTACAACCGACACGTATTCTATTACCGTGCCGGTCAAGATTCACGACGGTCAAAAATGTCGATAAACTACGCAGTAAACATACTTTGTAATGATGATAGATTTCGAGATCTTGTTTTTCCACCTTGTCGACATCGATGAGAACTAAAAAGAGCCCTTGTTTAGCGCGCGAAAATTCCGATTACGCTCTAATCGTCTTGCTTTTCGTTCGAGCGCGGCCTTTTCGGCATCCGACTTGCCCGCAACTCTTCGGGCATCCTTCTCGGCAAATCCGATGTTGATCTGAGCATCTAAATTCGCGTTGAGCAAGATAGTTCGAGTTACCCAAGTCTTTCTTGATTAGACTATCAACGGAACGATTGTAGTCGGATGGCTCGATCAGGCGGAGCTGGGGCTGCTTTTCCGGTTTGTCTATACGGGCCTTGTACCAGCGATCAATCTCATAAAATCTAAGAAGGGTCTAGAGAATAACTAGCTAGCAATACCTGTTTGGATAGAAAGCGGCGGGGCCGGCCCAAGCGATCACCCGGGGGCGTATGGGTCGATTGATGCGTGGCGTCGAACGAGCGGATCGATATTTCCGAGAGACGAGACGGGCATAGTCTTTCCCGCTCATTTACTGCAAAGAAAGAATAGTGAAAAGTTGAGGAAAAGCCGAAAAAGGTTTAGATTATCAAGAAAGCTCGCAAGGTGGGGCGCACAAAATTTTGGGCCGGGTGGAGATGCCAGCTTTTCACGGGAGATGAACGTCAAGTGGAGCATACCGGAACCGGTGAAAAATAAAAGATGTTTACATTTTTTCAGGCAAATCGGGTAAATATCGACCGAAGACGAGCTAAAAAATCAAAAACTAGGAATGGAAAATTATGAATAGTCATTTTGCTGTTTTCTTAGCTTTTGAGTTTCATCATCTCATTCCTTGAAGCTTCGGAATAAGAATCCCGAGCTTTTCCTTTAGATCCCGAAAAGTGGATTTGAAATACACACTCCTTGACAATTGACACCGAATGATGTGCAAAAACAAAAGAGCTTTTACTAAACCGAACTCGGCTATCCCTGAAGCTCCAAAGCTCTAGTAAAAAAACCCACGGAAATTGGAAATTTAAAATTACCCAAACCCCTCGCACTTCTCCGCTTTCGGGGGTTCGAAGTCCTCATTATCCACGCTTATCCCGTCCTTACGCCACGTTCGCCACTTTTCCAAAACATGTCGCAGTCAGCGATGGGGCAACTGTTCCCCCACTGGTGTATTGATTACGGCGCCAAGTTTAATGGACCTGTTTTTGTTGTCTTGGCTGGTTTTCAGTTTTTTCTGTTCATTTGGTTCGTCTTCGTTTCAAATTTTCTGATTTTCAGGGATTCCAAGATGAGCCGGACCAGGAAAGAAAGTGCCCATCGGATGGCCACGGCGATTGCGGTAAGGATCACGTTTTGGTTTTTTGAAAAAATGGGGAATTTTGGCCGAATTCCATAGAACTATTTATTTTAAGGGTTGTAAAGCTTTTGATTTCTAGGATAAACTTTAGGAGAGGTTATTATGGTGAACGGGATTGTGATCTGGGGAGGGGGGGGATTGACCGGCAATCGCTTGAAATCTTGTCTCGCCTTCTTCGTCAACAAACACCGTGATAAGCGCTGTGTATGTTATTCGTCTGACTCCGTCCGAGTTTTCACCTCATTCGCCTACACAAAACTTTTTCCCCTTGCACGCATGTCGTCACAGGTTCGTTTTTTTGCAGAACCGAATCGGGTTCAACTTTCAAAGGTTCCTTTTGGGGTTGCTTCCACCGCCCACGGCTATGTTTGCCCCGGTCTCGAAATGGACGCCAAATGAAATCACCATGTCCCGGGTCTTGTGGGTGGCGTTTCCCGGTAGTTTAGAGAAGACGGTTAACCTAAGCGCCAGCCTTCTGTGTTCCGGGACTGCGGCCGCTTGCCCCCATCTGTTTGCTTTGCGGCTGGCCACGCTTTCATATTTTTCACTACATTATGGCGCATATATAAGAGAAAACGACTGGAATTCGGGCACCACGTAGCGATGGCCAGCGTCGATATTGCCACCCGTTGACCCCGGTGCATAAGATTGCAAGCAGCTTTGAAGAGAAGGATATTTTGGAATGGCAAAAATCGGAGCGCGGAAGACTTGCCCGGCAACCATCCCTAGGCGTTGACGTTGGGGTAAGCTTTGTTATGTGGGGCGGGTTTAGATGAGGGTTTTTGAGATAAAGTAACCTAGTGGGCGTGTTTTTAATCATAAGCAGTGTATCATTTTGATTACCTTAAAGTCCTACCATTTTAGCTAATTCTAACCTGAAAACGCCTACGCGGCGAGATAGATCAGTGTTGTTTTGATAGTACCAATATTTGTTAGTCACAAAATTTAGGTAACTATCCATTCTATTAACTGAAAATCCGGCGTTCGGCAGACTAAAACTGGGCCTATTTGCTCCCACCTGGCCTACATTAGCGGGGCGAACGCTGTTATCGCGAATTTCCAATCACCGAATCTCCTATCGTTCGGGCATCTCGAGAAAGGGGGGAGCTATTAGCTTGTTTATTCTGGCCCATTAGCGTTCCGGAAACCGCTTTCTCTGGCTTGCCGCGATCAAACCTGGCGCCATTTGCAACACCCAGAGATCTCACCCCATTCAGCGTTGGATTTCTCGTTATTGTTGGAGCCACGCCGAATCGGGCATCGATTTATTTGCGCTTTCGCCGCCTGTCTTTTTATGGGAGCAACTTTTCCCGCACTGCTTATCCCTGACCTATAGTTCAGGAAAACAGCGGCGACCTTGCATTTTTTCTTGGATAGAGTTTTATCATTCGTGGCGCCAACGGGCCCCATTTTTGTTTCTTGTCGGGTTGACGTGCTATTGCTAGGTTGGAATGGGCACTCGATTGAGGCGTATTTCTGAGCACGTTCGTTATTTCCGGGAGGCTGGCGGTGATAATGAGACCAAGGTGTAGTGTTTGTTGGCCAAAATTGCAATATTTATTCAGCTGTCTTGACCTTTAATCGTGCTTATTTTTAGAGCTCCGAAGAATGGAAATCGTCTACAAAGAGGGAAACGCTCGGAGCCCTTGAGCAAGAGCTGGCCAAGCTCGTCGCGACCACCCATGATGGGCCTGAGATGGAGATGGCGAGAAAGGAGATGGGCGGCTTCCTCAACTTGTTCTCGCGATTCCTTCGAGCGAAGACGCAAATCGACTGGAAGTCCATTCAGCCTCTTCCGGAGGGCGCCATCAAGCCCTACAAGCAGGTATGCCGTTTTTACTTGCCTTTTTTATCATTTCTATAGCTCGCGCCAGTTGCCGATGATCAAGTAGCGTCAATGCTCAGCAAGCTGGTTGTCATCAAGCTGAACGGAGGTCTCGGCACATCCATGGGATGCAAAGGCCCGAAATCGGTGATTGCTGTCCGAAACGACCTTACTTTCCTCGACCTCACGATGCAGCAGATTCAGGTTTTTATTCTCATGAAAATAGGCCTTATTCTTAGCAACTAAACCGCACCTACAATGTTGATGTCCCGCTGGTTTTGATGAACTCCTTCAACACCGATGACGATACGCAGAAATTGCTCAAGAAATACGCGAACGTCAAGGTATGGAAATTTGTTGGGCGACATTACGAAGCTGATTTAGGTGTCCGTCGTATCCTTCTGCCAGTCGCGATACCCACGAATCAACAAGGAAACCCTGATGCCGATCGGCAAGGACATGAGCTCCAATGACCTCGAAGCGTACGATTTTGGCCTTGACGTATATTTTTTTAATAGCTGGTACCCACCTGGTCACGGCAATTTCTACGAGGCCTTCGCCAATTCTGGGCTTCTTGATAAGTTCCTCGAGCAAGGAAAGGAGGTATTCAAGATCTCACGTATACAATCCTATGACTTTAGTTCTGCTTCTTGTCGAACATTGACAACATGGGAGCCACTGTGGATCTCAGCATCCTGAACTTTGTGATGAACCCCACCGACCAGCAAGAACGGCCCGAGTTTGTGATGGAGGTATAATTTGATTTGAAATACTGTTCCTAAAGTTTTTCTAAACTCGTTTTTCCTAAACTCATTTTTTTCTAAAGCTGCCTAAAATTCATTTCCTAAACCGCTAAATATCGAAAAGCCCTCAGTTCTTTAGTATTATGCCTGACAAATCAAAAAATTCTAATAAATTCAGATATGCCTAACAATGTAATAGGAAGTATTTTATTGCGCATTTAGCCTAGAAATTCGAAGTGAAAAGCCAAAAAAAAGTTTTACAAAAGCCAGATAAATGCTTTGATAACAAAAATGACAGCACCTGCCTTTTCTTGATACTGTTACGCATCGCTATTTACATGTCAAATTTTATGAAAAACTTTAGGAAATGAACATAAGCCATTTATTTTATTAGGGTAAATTTTGTTTTCATGTTCGTCTCTTTTAGCCACAAAACATTTTTTAGGTTACCGACAAGACGAGCCGATGTGAAGGGAGGAACACTCATCCAGTACGAGGACAAGCTCATGCTGCTCGAGATTGCCCAGGTCCCGAAGGACTATGTCGACGAGTTCAAGAGTATTTCAAAATTCAGGTGAGCACAATAATTCGAAAAATTTTACGCCCATCTTTTCCTTTCAGAATATTCAACACAAACAATCCTATGGGCCAACCTCGGTGCTATCAAGCGTGTCATTTCCAACAACGAGCTCGATATGGAGGTAGCTTATTCTCTATTTTCGATTTTCTATTTATTTTTATTTTAGGTGATTGTTAACCCGAAGCACCTGGATCGAGGACTAGATGTGATCCAGCTGGAGACTGCTGCCGGTGCGGCCATCAAGAATTTCAAGTATTCTTGCGGGATCAACGTGCCGCGTTCCCGTTCCTTGCCTGTGAAGAAGTCGTCAGATTTGCTGCTTCTAATGTAGGATCTCTTACTGAGTTTTGAAGTCTACGCTCGTTTAGGTCCAACCTGTATGATATCGACAGTGGAAGTCTTACGTTGTCGGCTCTTCGCTCCTTCCCCACTACTCCTCTTGTGAAATTGGGATCTTCTTTTGACAAAGTCAAAGACTTTTGTCCCGATTCCAGGTAACACAGCGCCGACCTTCCAAGTTATTTTTAAGGGTATCCCCGATCTCCTCGAGCTTGACCATCTTACCGTTTCTGGTGATGTTTGGTTCGGACGCGACGTATCACTAAGGTTTCATTTAAAAAACTTACTTCAACCTCTCTTTCAGGGCACCGTCATCATCATCGCCAACCATGGAGACCGAATCGATATCCCGCCGGGCACGATGCTCGAGAACAAGATTGTTTCTGGAAATCTGAGAATCCTTGACCATTAGTTTTTTTGTGTTTTTTGTGCCATGCAAATAGTCTCACCCCCTGTGCCATGACTGTGAATTCCATTTCTGTGTAGTTCTTTTCGCTTCTTCGAGATTTTGCCTTCTTGGATCGGCGCTAATATTATAGAACTCTCGCGTGTCGATTGTTTTTGCATTGTCCAGATTTGATAAATTTTTAGTTTTAGCCTCAGACGTGAAAAAGACATATCCAGGCATAGATTAGCCAAGAAACTTCTAGATGTCAATTTTGCAGCCAGTATGCAAATGCCGTCCGGCTTTGGCGAAGCTTATAACGATAAGTATCTGATCATCTTACAACCCATTTAACTATAAAGTTGTTCTAATAACTTAGATTATTGATTGCAATGTATTCGTTAGTGTTGTTTAGCATTATGCACTAATGGGGCGATGTTTAGGGCCACAGAGCTGCCGTTCGTTTGGTTGGCCGCCATTCGCTTTGGTGTTTGTAGTTGGGTGCTCGAATTGACCGGGCTCGCGCACTTTTCGAATCTGCTGCGGCTCCTTTCCTAACATTCAATCATCTATCCAAACCCCCGAATCGCTTGCTTTTTAGCCATATAAACAAGATGCACACGATCCTCCTGATGCAGCCGACCGGAAAACTGGAGTCGAGAACGTGGAGCGACTACGAAACCCTGCGGGAATGTCTTGAAGGTATTGTGTTAATTTCTTAACTCTCCTCTTACAAGGAGTGGTTTCTAGGTGATCTTGGAATTTTGCACTGTCACATTAGCTCATTCGATAGAGCTTCAAATTCTGAACTAGAGTTGTTATAACTCAAACAAAACAAGGCCTCAAACAAGCTTGTTTGAACAATGTTGTTTGATTGGGATTTTGGAGATTCAAATCAAACATGTTTTGTTTGAGATGACCGTTGATCGCTCAAACTAAACAAGATTGTTTGAACTATTTGAGCAGTTTGAGTTTTGTTTGACCTTGTTTGAAATGTATGCTAATTTTGGATTTAAAGCGTGTTTTTTTAGTATTTTTGCAATTAGCATACGTTTTTTCCCGTGAAATTTGTTTTTGAATGTTTGAATCCACTTCCGATCCATCAAAAATCCCCAAAAATCTCACAGTTTAGGGTGTTCAAACAAGTTCAAACAAGTCAAACAACCTTGTTTGATTTGATCCCCCCTGGAACTCAAATCAAACAAGGTTGTTTTGTTTGAAACTTTTCGAGCTCAAACAAAGCAAACTTGTTTGAGTTGTTTGAATAATTTGTTGTTTGTTGTTTGATTTATAACAACTCTATTCTGAACAGAACCCTGCTTTCAAAAAATTCTGAACGGCAACGGGCGTCGAGAATAAGTTTCTCAAAGTTCGCATGTGTTAAGTAGAGGCCAAAAAAAAACTCGAATCCAGCCGTTTCAGAGCGACTTTTCTTAAAAACCGTAGTCGTGCAGCAGTTTTTGGAAGATGGGTTTTGTTCAGAATTTCATGCGCTATCAAATCAGCTATGTAACATCGCAAAATTTCAAGAGCACCTAAAAATCACTCCTTGTTAGCTTCTCCCTCAGATTCTGCCTGTTTATTATCTACCCATCTATTTTCAGCGATCTGCAAAATCTATGAGGAATTTTTGAAGAAGCACAACCCCGGGCAGCCATCAATTACCTACGATGTAAGCAATCTGTTCGACTTCATCGACAAGCTCACCGATCTCAGCTGTATGGTACTGAATAAGGTATCATCTCTTTCCTTTTTTTATAATGGACTCAGGATCGTACGTACATGCCCCACAACAAGGAATGGATCAAGGAGAAGATCTTTGCCATGCTGAAAAATCAAGCTAGCGTCCAGTAGCCGCCGCCGCCAAGCCCTACTCAATATGTATTGACCACAGAAGCCGGTATTTCATCTTGTTCCACCACGTACGTCCATTGAACGAATCATCTCTTTGTTATTTTCAATGCTTTACTTGTTTCTATAGAATTGATAAATTTATTGAGGGCAATGAGATGTGCAATTAATTCGGGTGGAAGCTGCCGCGCAGGCTTGACATCCAGGTTTCGTTGAGTTTGGCCTGGAAGTTGGATCGAAATGAAACGGGGGGAATGTCAAACCTGTTCTTCTTTAGCATTACGCCCGGGCTCCGGTTGGATATCATGTTTTTCATAGTCAAATGTGGTATCTGAAGAGAGATGAGCTTGGTATAGAAAAAGTTTTAAAATCGGAAACTGTGTGTGATGCTCACCGTTATTCCATGCTGGCCTGCCGAGCGGGTCGGGGCGAAGGCTCTGCATCCAGCTTTGGTTCAAGGCTTCCTAGAAAAAGATGAATGAATGAAACATGAATGAATGCGAAACCTGCTCGTCATTTGCATTCCGGCCGTACTCCGGCTCGGACTTGATTTCGGTTTTGTTGTAGTCGACAGTTGTATCTAAATTGTCATAGGTATATTTAGAAAACTAGAAATTTAGAAAATTTAGAAATGAAAACTGCTGAAAATAGGCGTACCATTATTCCAGGGCGGTCTTTCATTATTGCTCTTCCTCGAATGGGCAGTCCGGCCACGAGACACACTGCGCTGCAATCTTATGGTGTTTATTTTATACAATTTTTTTTACAGTTTTAGATTTAGTTTAAAGCTTAAAGTTGGCTAGGTTTTGCGTAAAACAAAAGGAGCCTCACCTCAGTGGGGGCAGTTCTTGGAGGCTGACTCTTCGATCGGCTCTTGTTCGTCATTTCGACTAAAGTTTTTTTCGGCTTCAGTGTGGGGATTTTTGGGCTGGTGGTGGCCATTGGAACAAATGGCCGACCGGATAAAGAATGCACAGCTTTTTATCCACCCCAGCTACATCCGGGGCGCTCATTTGGGAACCATTGATGGTCAAGTAAAGTGGTGGGCTAGGGAATTGATAATGACGATTACTACGTGGTTAGAGGGAAGTTATTTTCTCTGTAACGTAAAAAAAAAGATTAAAGAAAATGCGTTTCTAAAAATCATAAAAAGTTTAGGGTTCTCGACTATTAGCGGGAGACCAAATTTTGCCTGTAATTCTCGATGGTCCTATAACAAAATATGAACCATTTTGATTGTATTTAACATAGTTTTTAGATATAAAAAAATCATGAATTTCCGAAAATTTTGGATTTTTGGTAAAAAATGTAGGAAAAATGATTTCGTATTTTCAGAATTAAAAAATATTTTTGATAACTTTCTAGCAATCAAGAATTACTAAAAACGCTAAAACTGCGTTATATATTATCAACAGGTATAAGCGGAAAAAAAGCAAGTGGTTCCCCCGCTAACAATCCAGAACCAAGTTTAGAACTGTAGGCGCAACATTCCGCACTGACCGCTGGCATTTTCACGCTTTTTGCGCGCCGACTGGCAAGGGGTGGGTTTTTGTTTCGGGGCTTATTTTGGCGTGCCGTTAGTCGTTGCGGCATTTCCATGGCGGCGGCCCGGTTGGCCGAATTGTCCGCCGGGTGGACGGCCAAAAATGCAGCATACATGATCAGCGTTTCTTGGTTTTAGTGCTGCCGTGGGGGTGTACAGGTCGTAAACAATGGCCCTGTCTCGTGTATAGTCGAAATTTTAGATGAAAACATCGTGTATCTAATTCAGAGCTAAAAACACGTGCAAACGGCGAAAAATTATAGTTTTTAGCGGGTTTTCGGTTCTTTGGTGTTATCGGTGGGGGGGGGGAAGACCCCCTCTAGCGGTCCGCAGTGAGGTCCGAATTTTACGATTTAGATATCGATCGAAAGCTCTCGACGAGTTAAGAAGATATGTTCTCTCCGATTTTTAAAATTCCCGTATTTTCACCAAATTTTTCATCGTTTTTTGAGCATAAATTACGCTTCTGAAAAACTCAATTTAATCGGCTTCAGTCCCACCCAAGCTGTTTTTTCTCAAATGCCTTTAGAAAAGCCGACCTTGGGCTGCCAGGAAAGGTGCAAAAATTTGGGTACACATAGGATAACGGGGGAAAAATAACGGGGGGCACTCAAACTTTTTATATGATAAAAGTATTTTTAAATATGCTTTTTTCGGGCTGTAAAAAAACTCTTAGTATATTTTTCGGTCCTCTATCGAATGGCATTTTCAAAATTTCGAAAATATTCAAAACGCCGAAAAATTTTTCCCCCCTGTTATCCTATGTGCTGCCCATAGTTTTCAAAAATAGTTTTTAGGCTATAAAACTTTTATAATACATTTTTTCGCGTTGTAAAAAAATCTCTTAGTATATTTTTTGATGTTCTATCGATTCACGTTTTCAAAATATCGAAAATCTCAAAAATTTGGCTTTCCCCCCCCGTTATCCTATGTGCTGCCCATGGATTTTGATCAATTTTTGTTTATTCGATAAAAAATTTCATTTACATTATTTCGGGCTGAAATTAATTTTCCTAGGGCAGTTTTCGACGCTTTATCGAATGACGTTTTCAAAATACCGAAAATGTCGAAAATGTCGAAAATTTGACTTTCCCCCTGTTATCCTATGTGCTGCCCATAGATTTTCCTCAATTTTTGTTTATTCAATAAAAAAATTTCTATTACATTATTTTGGGCTGAAATTAATTCTCTTAGTATATTTTTCGACGCTCTATCGAATGGCACTCGCAAAATCCCAAAGTAATTGCAAATTTCATAATAATGAGTGCCCCCCCGTTATTTTATTCCCCCCCCGCTATCCTATGTGTACCAAAATTTGGAAAATGGGGTTTTGTTAAAGACACTTGCATGGGAAATGGCATCGAAAATCCAGCCAATCTCGTAAAAAATGTTAGTAAAAGTTATAAAAAGATTATTCTGGAATTTCAAAACTCGGAGAGAACACATTTTTTCAGCTCGTCGAGCGCTTTCGATAGATCTATAAACCGTTCAAATCGGACATCACTGCGGACCGCTAGCATGAAGTCTTTTTTGGGACACCCTGTGCTTTATTTGGAGTTTTTATGAATTTTCAGGTTTGGTCCCCTCAAATAAAAACATCCCCAACCACTGCCATCTTTTGTTTATGTTTATGAGGTGGTTTACAGCCGGGGGCGAGGCGCGCATACGCGATCAATTACCCGCAGCACGCGTCAAGCGCCGTCTATAAAGATTGGGGGCGATTGGGGTAACTAGCTGAGGACGATTATGAGCAAGAGGAGGATGAGGAGGAGGGCATATGGCCCGAGAGGATAAAGACATTATAGACACACTGCACATCCATTCACAACATTTGGCAACAGATTGCATCGCGGCAGAGCGATCTAGAGAGAGGCCGAGGCCATCAAGAAGCGGGCAACGCGCTTAGGCTAAGGCAACCAACTGGAAAAGCTAAATTTCAGGTGAAAAATGTGGTAATTAGAAACATTTTTTCTTTCTTTCTTTTCAAAAAAACGGCAAAAAACCGTTTATCGCTTTCAATCTAAATTTTTTTCTAAAATAAACAGAGAAAATCTTTCTTAACTCTGTTTTTATTATTCCTAAAGGCAAATGCCGTACCAAACTCCATTTAAAAAAAATACAAAAATAATTCAATTTTCGACCAAAAATCGCCGATGTTCACCCAAAATTTAGAATTTAAAAATGTCTAAACGTTTTTCTGTAGTTTGTCCACTTGAAATACAGCTAAATTTTACTAAAACTCGCTAGGAATTTCTGAGTTATATACCCCCGATAATGCAAAAGCACCGTTTTTGTTCTTCATTATCGCCCCAAAAAAGAGCCTGGTTTGCCGAATTCAAGCAACAATTTCGGCAATCAGTTTGATCAAATTGCATAAAATTAGCGCATCCTAATGGACCGGAAAAGAATTGGCAGAATCCGGAAATTCGCCCATTTTCCACTAGAATCCCGCAATAAAAGCGTTCCCTCGGGGCCCGAGTGGACATTTTTATCTATGCCTTCCCTTCCCGGTTTCTTGACTGCATTGGTGGGCTGGAATATCGACATTGTGAAAAGGCTTCTTTTCAGAAGAAGAAGTTTAAGAAGGAGAAGAAGGGAGCCCGGACCGGCAGCGCGGAAAATATCGATGACGTCGAGGAGCCGGCCGCGAAGAATGACAAGCCAGAGGTTTGCAGGCCAAGGGGTCGCGGCAGTTTAGCAGTTACTTGCTCTACGGAGCTTTAAAGTATACCAAAATATGCGCCAGACCTGGACGAACATTTTAGTATATTTTTTGGCCCTGTAGGATCAAGGGCAGACGAGATACAAATGTTGACGTAATCTTGCAGCTACACGATCCCTCGCCTACTGTATCTCGGCTCCCCTCTATTATACCAGGCTGTAAAGTATATCAAGAGATGCGCCAGACCAAGATGAAGCTTTTGATATACATTACGGCCCTGTAGCACGACGGGGAGCCGGGATATAGTAGGCTAGGGTCCAAATAGCGGCAATCTTACGCCAAAGCTTGTATCTCATCTCCCCTTTATCCTACAGGGCTGAGAAACATATCAAAATCTTCGTCTTGATCTGACGCATCTTTTGATATACTTTACGGCTCCGTTGGATAGCGGGAAACTGAGATATAGAAGCTGGGAGTACCTGAATCGTCTTGATTGCAGCGCAGCGGGATGGCGGCCGTCGAGGAAAGCTTGAGAAAGAAGAACAAGAAGAAGAAGGGCGACGCCGGAACACGACAACATAAGACCGGTGGCGACATGATGAACAAGACGCAGGACGGCGGAGACGGTGTACCCATTACGCCACCACCACCTACAAAGTCTGTCCGAACGTTCGGCTACATTTGTGGAGTGACAGTTTAACAATGTTTCATTAGGAAAAGCTCTGGGATCTACAGGGGGTCGCCCAAAACCCCTCGGCGTTTGGACGTCTTCTATCGATTGGGAACAAATTTTTACCAGCGATGGGGATCCATAAACCTACGTGCAGCCCAATTTTCTCAATAAAATATTTTAAAACAAAAAAGTTGTCGCGAAAATTAAGATTTATTTGGCTGTGCTGACCATGATTTTGATGGCTTTCGACCTTGAAATGGTTAGCAAAAATGGAAGCTGGCATTTTTTCCACCCAGAGAATTTTTTTGTTTACGGAAGTCGTCTAATTTCAGGATTTACATTATTTTTTATTAACAAAATGGCCGAAAACCTACCCGAAAATGACCATTTTTCGGAAAATTTATCAAAATCAGTATGCTAATTGCGAAAACAGCCAAAAATAGTACCAGCTTTCAAAAAAATAGTTTTTGGCGATACCTTTTTGTTTTACAATATAACCTTAGAAAATTCGGTTGCACATAGTTTTATGGGTCCCGATCGCTGGTAAAATTTGGTCCCGATCCGATAGAAGACGACCAAATGCCAAGGAGAGGTTTTTGTGGCCACCCTGTACACCTATTTCTTTGCAGCTTCGAGCGGTCAGGCAGCCGAAAGAAGAACAAGCAGAGCCGCGAGCTGCGCAGCGAGATGGCCAAGTTCAAGCGGCCGCCGAAGGGCGATCAGCAGGCGATGGTCGAGGCGTTCGCCAGCTTACCTGCGAGAAGGGCATCAATGGGTTGAGAGCCGATTTCTCGAGGCACGAACGCAAATGTGATATGCACAAGTGCACCGTGTTTGCCCGCTACCCCGGCAAGAATCGCTATAAGGTGATTTTATGGGTACTTTTGCGGTGCTTTTGCATTATCGGGGGAAGGTTCTTTAGGATTCCCGGGGGGAAAGTATCTTGGGGGAAACCAAATTTTTCCTGGTGGTCCAAGTTGACCTAGTAATCAAATATAAAGTGTTTTCGAATTGTTTTTTAGTAAGTTTTTGAATATATATTTAAAGTAGAATAACTTGTCAGAAAAATTTAGAAAATGTTTGAAAAGCTCGAAATTTAATGTTGGTCATTTTGGGTCTATTTTTCGACCTAATTTTTAATTTTTTACATTTTTTTGGTTAAAATGTGTATTGCTTTTATCCACAGGAATAGTTAAAAACAATTTAGAAACGCATCCGCAATTTATACAAAAATCCAGGGCTTTCGCCGAAAAAAATTTGGTTTCCCGGGAATACTTTCCCCGGGGAACCTAAAGAA